GGGGTCAGGCTAGATGATCTGTTCAGGTCCCTCCTGACCCTAGCTACTGTGAAACTATGAGACTACTACACCAATGTGTCAGCTCTGCCAGCTGCCTTGGGTACAGTAGATCGGGAAGTAGGGTTGATACAGCTGTGGTCCTGAGGAACAGAAGTGGTCTTCATCTAATCTATTTTTTTCCCCAGTTGCAAAATCGAAACATTTGAACCTGAGATCAGCAGCCCCAGCACCTGGAGGGCCCATTGCTCGGAAGTGCAGAGGTCTACTTTTCAATTGTGGTCACTTGGCTGTATGGCCAAGCACTCTTTCTGTTTGGTGAGGTGAGGTGCCTGTGCTCTCATCCCAGGGATTTACCCTGGTCTGCTTACCTCAAGAAAGTGATTTCTATGCATCAAAAGGCTCAGCTAGTAAATATGTTGGGCATCTGGGCAACTCTGCAATTTCTGCTTTTGTGATATTGGAGAAAACAGGATGAGATGGGAACTAGTGCTGCAATCTTACCAGGGTAAGAAAGACATTATTCACATAACCAGGTAGCCACTACCAATCTGAGGCTTCTCAGGAGGAACAGGGCTAAGGAACCTCAAGGAGAGAAATTGCTGTATCCACGCCACTGTGAAGTCCTGTACCTGTCCAGGGGCAGCTGGCAATTTAGAAGGCCTGTTGTTACCTCTTCCAGGAAATCATGAGCCAAGAGGCATAAGGCCATCATTACTTCCTGCCATTTGTGGGGATGACTGATGGTGCTGAGCTGGGAGTGGAGCCTGCCCACAATCTCTGGCACCTAGAAGAAAACAAGACCATTTAGAGGCACTGGCCAGGGTGTTGCTTTCAGAGTAAGAATAAGGATGCATGCTATCAACAACAGCTATTCCTCCTTCCTGGAGGACGCTGAGGCTGGATCATAGAAGCCAGCGGTGAAGACCTCAAGGTCGTCTCAGAAAAGATGCCTCTGCTCTCCAGTGCGATCCCCCTAGATTCCAGACAAAGGCTCAATCTTCAGTTTTAGACAGTTCACTTGCAACCCACACCACATAAGAAATGCAACAGAGGGAGTATCCCACTTACAACACCCTAGGATATAAGGATTGAAATGTTCCCTGGTGCCCAAGAACCCCCTACCTTTGTCTTTAAACTGTGCTTGAAGTTCTTCAGGATTGCATTCAGGATGGCCCTGGATGCTTCATTGATATCCTCATGGTGTTCCCTTAGGTTTTCCACAGCTACCAGTAGAAGGTCTGTCATCTGGTCTGGAGTGAGAAATTGCCCTAGTTCCTGCAGTGGGGAGAAGGGTGGAATCCAAGCAAAAGCAGCAGGGTGGAGATGCCCTGGTTAGACGTGTACTCTGAAACTGGAATCACAGATAACAGGAGTCTAAACAAAGCTCTGCTTGGTCTCTTTGGGCCTCCTGGTTAGAAGGTTCCAGCAGACCTCGTGGGTTCCCGAAGCTGTGATACCAGGCCTGGATTTACTGACAATAACGTTATCAGACCATCACCTATGGGAATATGAATTCACTGTCCGAGGCACTGCAGTAAGGATTTCCTACATGCAGCATGCAGTTTTGCGCATTAGCTTTTGAAGAGCCAGAGCACACAAAAAATCTGGGTACAAAAAAAAATACTTGCAATATCATGTGCCATTGCCACATCTGGTCATTCAAACAGCTCACCTGACATCACTTGCACATGGTGAAAATACCCAAATTGCTTAACAACTTTCTCTTCCATTGAATTTGACCCATCATATCCCATACTTGCTGCATTTATTTATCCTTTGACTTTTTCCTGATCCATGTGTTTGGGATACTGTAACCAAACACCCTTTGATCTAGGTGGGGCTTGGAACAACCAGTTTAGTAAAGCCAGCCAGGTTTCAAAGACATTTGCTTTCCAGTTTATGGAGCCTTAACAAAGATAGGCAGTCTCTCTTGGGTAGGATGAAAGAGAGAAGTATTACATTGGAGAGGGGCTCTGATCTATGCCTGGTTTGGTATTTTCCTCTGTGTGTGTGTGTGTGTGTGTGGGGTGACAAGGTTCCTTGGGTGAATCTGATATCTTTTATTAGACCAACCCAAATAGTTGGAAAATAATTATTATGCAAGTTTTGTGGGTTCAAAAACCCTTCGTCAGGCTAAGGAAGTTTCAGCAGTCGGTGTGTGCTCTTCCTGGATGGATGTGTGTGTACGTACTTATATGTATGTATGTATAATTTGCTGTTTTTGGACAGAAAGTACAGTTTGGGAGAAGCTGAACATTTCCATAGGAAGTAATTGAAACATTTCATTTCAAGTGACTTCAACATCAATCCACCCATGTCCACCAGTACTTCCAGGACAGTAGTTTTTTCTGATTACCCTCAGATTGCTGTGTTGACCTGTAGCTTGAGTGCCTCAAGCCTTCATTTTCCTCTACGGACAAGGTTTCCTGGGGCATGTGTAGACAAAACAAAATTTGGACAGGAAGCTATTTCCCATTTTGCACTCTGGCTTCTCCTCTGCCTGAATTACTGCCACATATGTTCCAGGACACGTACTGAAGGATGACGGCATAAGGCATCCATAGCCACATAAGGAAACACAGGCCTCTAGAGACCCCACAAACTGCCTAGGCAGACTCAATTCAATGTCAGCCAAATTGAATTGAAGCATTTTGACATATGGAAATTGAAAAATGTTGGAACCCCTTGTACTGTGAAAATGCTGACATCTTGACTTTTCATCCTTCCAAAGGACACATCCTGATTTCTTACCTGTTCTGGATATATGTTCATAGAAAAGTAGGAGTGGAAGAGACCCCAGAGGAGGGTCCCCCATCCCATGCCTCGATCAATTGGCCATACACTCAGAGGTACCAGGAATGCGCGTGCCTTCAAGAATCTGCTTCGGCACACCGGCACTGAGGATTTACCTTAATGATTGTGCAGATGTTTTCACATGCTCTCGTGGGTTCATATGTTCCCAGACACTTTTTGTACCTTTGATGCAGTTCTGCTTTTATAGGCATTGAATTATTCTTGTGTTCTAGGAGACAAACATCATGTTCAAGAAGGCTCCCGATTTTGCGTTTAAACAATTCACATCCCTGAACTGTACCTGCTCTGCAGACTGGAACCAAAAGTACGACAGAGAAGCAGGCCTTTTGTGTAACAATCCTGAACACGGTAAATACATAAATACAAGGGGGAGGAGGATACATTGGTGGACTCCTGACAGCTTTATGTAGTGAATTAGAGAATATTCTTTACTGATTCTTTTCTCCAAAACAGTAGACCGTCACTGTGACCTTCAGGTCACTTAGTTTTTGTGACATACTCTGTCCTTTCCCTTTTCTGGAGAACATAGAGCTTTTAAATTAAACCATCATTTCTAACTTTATGGAAGAGCACAGCTGCTATCTAGTAGCTACTTTCAGTTTTTTTATTGCCACCATCCCCATAGTCTCTCTCAGACCTCCTAGGTAAAAATCAATAGCAACAACTATTAGACTCCCATCTACAGACTTACTGGGGTCTCTGAACTAATTCCTTTATAGGACCCAAAAGGGAAGACAGGCCTCCTGTTAGATGCTCTGTTTTAGCCTAGCTCTCTAAGAAAGCACCACTATGTAGGGGATTAATCACTTGTTTGGAGTTAGTGTTTGGGTGGAAGAATGTTTTGGATGGTCTCTGCTTACCCTTTTGGCACCGCACGAGGGTGTAGAGGAAAGACAGGCCTTCCATAGCCTGGGGACCAATCTCCTGCACATAGTCCCCAATGCGAAGGGCCAGTAGTCCAATCAGGACCCCCAGCTTGGGGAACTCGGGTGACATCTAAATTAAATTGAAGGGGACGGAGGAGTCAGTGTGTATCACTTTCATGGACCAGAAGAGCCCATAACCCCTGGCAATTCATGTCCCATCAAAGGGAAAGACAGCACAGCCTAGAGCAGAGGTTCCCAAAATTTTACTTTTGAAAGGCCAGGTCCAAGGGGCAGCCTGGGGCAGAGGGGGGAGACAGGCTGCATCAAAGGGGCTTGTAGGCCGTGCTTTGGGAACCTCTGTTTTGGAGCCATTCTGCCTCTTCTCAGCTCCCAGGGGTCAGGGATCACTCACACAAAACTCAGGATGGTCGACTGCAGCTTTTAACAAGTAGAGGCTGGTGTCCACAGCTCTTAAGCGCTCATGAAACTTTTCTGATCTCATCCAGGGGACCAAGTGCTGCACGGATAGATAGACAGAGAGAGAGACAGAGAGATAGAGATGGCCAGTGTTAACAACTGGCTGAGAGAGATACTTACAACAGTGCATTCCAGATGTTCTCCGTGTGTGTCTGCACCAGGGCAGCAGAGACCTGAATCTCACCACTGAGCAATAAGCCCTGTGAGACAACCCAGGCAGGCCCTTAGCAGTGTGCTCAGGACCTAGGCTTCTGACATGCTCGAGTGTGGTGCTTTGGGGCCTGCACTTCCCCTCACATCTGCAGTTGGCATATGGGGAGTGGGTGGACAAGGCCAGGAGTACGGCCCTGGCACCACCTTGGTGTTCTCTGCACCATGGACAGACTCCCTGTGACCCTCCGACTGCTTCTGGCTTCCTCTCAGGATTTCAATGTCACTGAAAATTCTCCCACCCTACAAAGAGGTCAACCCTGCCTTTGTGCCACCAGGCTCACTCCTGATTACATGGTGGTTTTAACACTGTCCTGAGCCAGCTGTGTTACAAGACTGACACAATAATCCACCACCCCAAAGGGATGGTTCATCAGCTTGGATCCATGGGAGACCGAGACCTTTAATCCTCATCTTCCTTGGACCCCACACTCTTTCCAGGAAGGAAGCAACAGTGTGAGTCTCCACTAAGCATCACTGAAGCTTTCTGGAAAGGAGTGGAGGGGATGTTTTCTCTGACTTTCTTCCCGTCTGTCTGATTTTGAACCAGCCAAACCACCTAGTCGGCCCTCTGGTCAACGATCCAGAGCCTGAGGCTAGAGACTCAGTTTTTATTCCTAAAATGGTCTCTTATTGAGGGGAGGGAGAGTCTTGCTTTCATTTTCCAGAAAGATGGACTGAAGGGAAGAGAAATCATGTCCATAGAGAACATGGGCAACCTCCCAAAAGGTTACAAAAACTCTCCTTTGTCTTGCTTGACACAGAAGACATCCTAATGGCTTGAAGCAACTAACTCCCTCTGAGACTTCTGCTGTACAGAGCATTATCAGGCTGAGGGCCTATTCAAGGCATTACTGCAGAAAGATGAATCCTCTCATCTTGCCCAAGCCCCCTGCATTCCCCCAAGAAGACGTCATTTCTTCTGCCTGCTGCTACTTACATCTAAGAGGTTCTGCAGCTCGGCTGTGTTTGGATTCACTAGCAAGAAGGCTTTCAGCATTGTCTTCAGGCCATCCATAGTCTGGTTGTACCAGTCCTGAGGAGGAGGAAGAGGAGGAGGAAAGGCTCAACATTTGGTGTGATGCAGAGCCAGAGAGCACAAGGAAGCTGCAAATGGACAGGGAGGAATGGGTCCTTGCCACACCTACAAATAGCAACTCTCCCATTAAGCTGTTACTGCCAGGAGACCTGCAGGGAGCAAGCACAGTGTAGGAAGGGCTTCTTATTCATTCTCAGCAAAGGGCTCTGTCTGCAGCTTGGTAGTGGGCAGTGAAGCAGGATCATCTTGCTCCTCAGTGCAGAAAGGATGCCACCACCTCCATAGGGTGGAGGGAGCTTCTGGGTTTGTACAGCCAGGCCTGAAGTGACCACTCCACCAGCCATGGCACTTCAGTCTTATCTGACCTAGAGCATATCTTATGGAAGTATATCCAGCTCTGATGTCCTCCTGACCCCGCCATGTGTCACACAACAGGCACAACCCCTTTACCCACCATTTACCAGGACACAAAGCTTTTCCTGCCAGCTCTAGGCAAACCAAGCAGGTGGGCCTTGCTAACCAAAGAAACCAGACTCCTGGACAGTGCACTCAGGAACAGACAAGGAATTACCTTCACAACTGCCCTATTGTTTTTCTCCCGCTGCAAGGTCTCCAAGGAGGGAAGGGCAAAGACGCTGGCAATGCAGATCCGAATCGCATTGGACTTCTCCTTACCCACCAGAGATGGCTTCAATTTGCTAAAAGAAGCATAAGCTCACAGTGAATTGTTTTACTGGAGATGCCCTTATACTTTGACTGCTTCAACAATGGAGCATAAGGAAGGGCAGGAGGATCAGACTATCAGCAAAAAGAAGTGGCATAGAAGAGAAAAACAGGGCAGAAGGGCTCTCTATTACTGCTTATTATTTGCAAATGCTTAAAGACTGATTGAGATTGGGGTCTGTTGTGCTAGGTGCTGTACATATTCAGAGAGAGTCCCTGGCCAAACAAGTTTGCAAGCTCATCAGCTAAGACAGAAGCAGCTGGGATAAAGGAAATCTCCATTGTACAGATGATCAGTTAGCACCTATAGCAGGGGTGGGCAAAATGCAGCCCGCGGGCCAGATGCCAGGCCATTCTATCCAGCCCGCGGGGCCCCTAAAAATTTAGAAAATTAGTATTTATCTTCTCCTGGCTGCCTGTCATGTGGCCCTCAATGGCTTGCCAAAACTCAGTAAGCGGCCCTCTGCCCAAAATAATTGCCCACCCCTGACCTATAGGAAAGCAGAGAGCAGTTTGCACCTATAGGCTGTCTATGGGGAAAGCCAGGAAGTGAGTCCCGATTAAACATACACTCAAATTCAAGGCCCTTAGGACGCTGGTTAGGATAAGCCATGCAGCGAATGAGGTGCACGTTCCTCTGCTCTCCCCACAAAGATTTGGTAAGGCCCCTGGAGGGATGACATTTCTGCCTCTGATGGGCTTAGGCTGAGAAGTCCAAGTACCTGAGGTCAGCGATAACCAGCATCTCCTGATGGCGCAAGTCACTGGAGCATGCGTCCAGCGAGTCCTGTGGCAGCTCTTTAATGCGCTTCTGCGAATCCCAGAGGAGACGTAAAAAATCACAGCAAAGAACCCCATCATTAGCTGCCCCACCCCCTCTTATACCCAAAAGAGGTCGTTTCACCAGCCTCCAGAGCAGTGGGAGGCTAGACAATACCCAGAACAGGCTGGCTACACCCCTAAATCCTGGAGAACAAGGCTGGAAGGGACCTCAAGAGCTCACATCTAGTCCAACCATCTGCTTAAGGCAGGATCATCCCTGACTAAACCATCCCAGCCAAATGTCTGTCTAATCTGCTCTCAAAAACTGCTGAGGATGGAGACACCACAGGCTCTCGAGGGAACAATCCTCATAGTGGAAAAGTTCTTCCTAATATGCAACCTAAATCTCCACGGTTACATATTAAACTCATTACTGGTGGTGTTGTCTCCGGTGGACACTGAGAACAATCGATTGCCAGCGTCTGTGTAACAAACTTTTTGTATTTGAACGTATCAGATTCCCCGTGGCCGTCTCCAGGCAGGATAGTCCCCGTTCTAGGTCTGCCTGGTTTTATAACATGAGCCCTGGGCTGCTTTCACTCACCACAGCCTGTCTGATGAGCATGAGATTTTGGCTCTCGGGCTGGTTTGCTCTGTTCTCGATAACTTCCCTGCCAACTGCCTTCTCGCATCATGGACCAACCGAGCAAGGACAGAACATGAGATATTAATGTATGAAGCATGCAGACATCAGCCAGGAGCAACTCTTCCCACTTAAAAACCTCCAAAAGAGTAACACAGTCTGTCATGAAGCAATTATTAAGCAGGCAGACACCCTTCTTGCCTGGATGGCATCAAAAAATCAGTGTATATAGCTGTTGAATATGTGGGTGAAGTGGATGGAGAGCAATCAGATGCTTAAGTAACTACAAGCATGGAATAAACACCTTGTGGAAGATGTGATGAGCATGTGATAAATGTCTAGGGAAACCCAGATTAACAACACACAGACATGCTAAGAGAGGCAAACAGGTTACCCGAAGCAGGTTCCTACCGGATTATTGGAATCGTTCAAGGCCCCCATTTCCAAGGCGCTGTCCTCTTTCTCTATCAGGTCCTGCTTCATTGTCTCATATGCCTCACTGTGTATTTCTGAATGGGATAAGAAGAATGAGGGCAGATTCCTGTTGTGCCTGGTTGAAGGGTATAGTACTGCACTTGCTGGCAGATGATGTACTCAGATGAGATTAGGTATTCAAGGTGCTCCATTAGAAATCACAAGGCCTGGGTTTCATTTCTAACTTTGCTGCCGACTTCCCGGGAGCTTGGGCACATCGCTTTGGCTTAATTCTCCATGTCACCAAGCTCTGGATTTGGTCAGGGAGCTGGTTGTAGCTCCCCAATTCTCAGCTGCCCACTTCTGGTGCAAGATAAAGCCACAAGAGTAGGGAAGGGCATTTTACATCACTGATATAAGGTACCTTAGGAGTAGGGTAGTCCTGCAGTCTATCACATCCATCTTCAGTGTAGGTGGGCATGTTGCTAGCATAGGAAATCTACACAGCAAATTCCAAATGTGGCAGCTTGATCTCTCTCTGGGCCTTAGTTTCCCCAGCCGTAACATGGAGACAATAATCATTCCCACCACAAAGTGGTATTGTGACCACTGAGGTTGGGAGCCTACTAGAGGGGTTAGGCACCTAGGGTGCCTATACATGTGAATCAAGTAATTACAGTGCATCGGAGCAGACTCGATTCTGCCGGAGCATGGTAATTACCATACTCCAGCAGACTCCAGTGTCATGTACATCAGCATCCCCGTGCTGAAAAATGATGGCAGGGGTGCTTATTCAATGAGCTTTAGCATCCCCACTGCCATTTTTTAACACAGGGATGCTGATACATGTGACCCTCTGGGTGCTTTAATGAGAGCTGCTTTTGGAGCTGCTCTAATTAAAGTGCCCCCCCCTCCAGTAGCATGTGTGTAAATGCCCTTAAATCCCATTGAAAGGCTAAGGGCCTAAGGTATCTCTGAACTTCCCAGCCTGATCAATGTATGTTGGAACCATATAAACACCTTGTTAGCTAAGACTTAACTAGATCCAAGGCCTCCTAATACCACTTCTCTAGAGAGCCTTCTGCTCAAGGCACATAATGTTTACTTAAACGTATCACAAGCACAGGCCTCAGTTTCCCCAGACGCAGAGATCCCCACACCTGCAGACACGGGCTATGGCATGCAGTGCTCTAACAGTGTCCTGAGTGATCTCGGTCACCTCTTCCTATAACCTCAGAGGGCCCAGGTGGGTCATCAGGACGTTGCTCCTTACCTCCAAGGACTAAAGAGAGGGCACTTTCCTCCATCTCTGGGACCCAAAAAGGGTACTCCTGGGATACTGGATCAGCATATGATTCCCTGCCTCTTAGGACTGGATCCACATGCTCTTCCACCTGCGGTTCACTCATGAAATACTGTTGGCTCCTTCTGTTCATGTCGGACACCTTCCCGTCAAGCATCAGACTCGAGAGTCTTAAACAGAATCTCCTGCACCTGCTTGAAGATAGGTCTCCACACAGGTGCACAGCCTCCCTGTAGCAGCAACAGGAGAGGCCATTTGACCTCTTTATTACAGCTCACTATCAATATTCACAGCTGTATGTAAATGAAGCTGTGAAACAAATGATGTCATAACCATGCATTGAATGGACACCAGTAAGGGAGGCAGAATAGCATCCAGTGACCAATCAGTTTCTAGCTTTGGATAACTGCTGTCCTCAGCATTTTGAGCGGCTGTGCAGCCAGCATTGAAACATGCAGTACTCTCCTAGGCTGAAGAGCTAGGGTGCAATTCATCTCCCAGTGGATTTCATCACAGGATTCCTTTGGATTTTGATGGGAGGGGAATCCCATAGGGCAATCGTTCTCAACCAGGGAGCTGCAGCACCCTTGCGTGTTTTGAGATCCCTTGAGGAGCACCACAGGATGTCACACAAGGTTAACACTGCTATGTGTGCAAACATGATTTACAAGATAAACCCAGAGAGTCCAAAAGGAATCCACAATGGCAGATTCTGACCTGCTGCAGGCTTTCTAAGGTCTTTGCAACAGAAGAACCGCTCTATTATTTTTCTGTAGTTAAAAACCAAGTGAAAACTAGGAGCTGGCATTTTCTGAGGGATGCCTTGAGTCTAAAAAGGTTGAGAACCACTGCCCTACGGGCTGTCCAGTCTAACCAGTGCAGAGCCCTACAAAACAGCCCATTTCCCTTCCAAACATAAAACTTCACTTCTCCTTTCACTTTACTTTCCAGTCACATGTAATCTCCTGGACATTAGCATTTAAAAATAAGATGGTCTTATTGGGAATTCACACCTGAGCCAGGGGGTCCTGGAACCCTCTCTCACCCAGGGGGACATTTCACACTGCTCCTACTACTTCAGGTGCAGTGCTGGAGGATTGAGCCAGATTTTCTTTTTTTCTTTGTTTGACAGCATCCCCAACCCCCTGGAGCCTCAGGCTGTCCTTGGCAAAGCCCCTATTGACATCAGTGGGCGCAGGACCCCAGCCTTTGATCAGGAACAAGCCCCTCGGCAGGAGTCTGCTTGCTGTTCCTCACTGTTCCCTGTTGCAGTGAGGGCGAGTTTCCAGCTGCCTGCCCCGAGCAACGCTGGTAGTCTCCATGGACAACGTGGAACGTTTCCTTCTGACCCTTCTCCAATGGTTCTTCTCATCTGGTTCAGAGCTTGGAGCAGTTGGGGGATGGATGGGACTTAAAACTGTGGACACTACAGCCCAAATCTTTAGCTGACATAAATCAGTGTAGCTCCATTCACTTTACTGGTGTTACACAAAACTGTGCCAGCCAAGACCCTGACATTAGACCATTTTCTCTGCCATGCTCAATTTAGGTTTTAAAGGATGATTCCAGTGAGTTGTTCCAATGCTCTAAGTGGCTGAACAGTTATAAAACAAAAATTAATATATCACAAAAAGGAATTTCACAGCAGTCTACAGGCACTGGGGCCTGGCTTCCGCAGTAGAGGCGCCTATATCTAGTTGGTGGAAATTGCAGAATAGTTCATCTTGCTTTCCTGGTCATCAAGAGCCCTTTTGCAATCCCAGGATTACATCCCACTGAAAAGGCAGACCTGATCACAACAGTCCCCTCCCTATCCTGACCTCACCAGGGGCATTAGGACTGCAATCTGTGGGTACAAGCCAATGTCCTGCACATTCACATTTAAGATCAGTGTGCTTATTAAGCTCTTAGGTCCTCCCCTAAGCATGAGGTTTTGTTATGAATAATAATAATAAAAAAAGAATCACTCTCTTGTTAAAGTAAAATCCCCCATCTGGTGACGATTAGCTCAGGACATGATTTCTAGCACCATGCAACACACCATGCTGCAAATGACTCAGTGCAGCTTCCTCTCTAATGACTGCTGTATTTGGCCCTCAAATGACTTTTAAAGATAGTGCTGAATACACGTTGATGGAATTGGATACACATGAAGACACCAAAGACTGCAGACCAAAATTTAGGGAACTTGCACTTTACTTAACAATTCAATAACACCTTCTTTAGTAAGGAACAAGACTTCTCCGGTGTTCTGACTCCAAACTTCAAACTCAGCAGGTGTGTTCAAAACTTTCTTCCCAGCTATTACAACATACGGGTAACCAAGTATGTTAGCATCTTTCAGTCTTTTACCAATAGTCCAGTGAACCCTGTCATCCAGTATCACGTCCCCTTTAACCTGAGGCACGCCATCAGCAATATCATCGTACAAGCTCTCCATCAGCGCCACTCCCACCTCTTCTTTGCTGCCCTTCTTCGGGGGTATGAGGCAGACCTGGTAAGGGGCAATGAGGCTTGGCCAACGGATTCTGTCCTCCGTAGAAAGCACCTCAACAGAAGCAGCCAGAATCCGAGTGACGCCCAGCCCATAACAGCCCATTTCCGCTAGCACGTGTTTGCTTTCAGCATCTTGGAAGGTAGCATTAAAAACAGAGGAATACTTGGTGCCCAGATAGAACGCGTGCCCGACCTCAATCCCTCTGGTCTTTGTCAGTTTTCCATGACAAACCGGGCAGTCGGTCAGGTCAAAGTTTATCGTTTCTGCATTGGCAGAAAACTTGCAGCCTGGGCAGACCACGAGCCTGTCCTCTCCAATGCTGGCCGGGAGCTGGAACTCGTGAGACGTGGTCCCTCCAATGCTGCCCGTGTCCGCTTGGACTTTTAAGATGCTAAGTCCCAAGCGGTTAAACATGCTGCAGTAGGCATCGCACACCAGGCTGTAGGTCTGGCGAGCAGCCTTCTCGGAGGTGTCGAACGTGTACATGTCCTTCATGTAAAACTCCCTGCTGCGCAGCAAACCAAAGCGAGGCTTCGGTTCGTCCCGAAACTTCCTCGTTATCTGGTACAGCAGGAGGGGAAGCTGCTTGTAGGACAAGGCTGCTTGCGAGGCAACCAAACGCGTAACGATCTCTTCGTGCGTGGGCCCCAGGCAGTACTCCTGATCGTGTCTGTCCGCCAGCCTGAAGAGCTCCCTGCCCATTATATCCCACCGCCCGCTGGCTCTCCAGAGCTCCGCAGGGTTTAAACTGGGCATGTTGACCTTCTGCCCTCCGATGCCCTGCATCGCTCGGTCGATCACCCGGATGAGCTTCTCCATCGCTCGAACGGTGTAGGGCATGTAGTAATAGCAGCCGTTCTGGGCAGGGCAGATCAGGCCAGCCTGCAGCATCAGCTTCTGGCTCCTGCAAGTCAGGTCATCGGGTTTGCTTTCCGGGTCCGCCGCGTGGTCCTCCCGAAGATTGAAAGGCTGGTAGAGCTGGGACACAGCCGCTCGCCCGGCTCTGGTGGAGCCGTCGTGGTGCGCCTGGCGGCAGCGCTGCCCTGGCCCGGCGTGGGTCGGCGCTCCGGGAAGCAACTCCTTCCACCTCCTGAGCAGCCCTCCCATGCGCGGGGCCATGGAGGAAGCCTCTCCACAACCTGCAGCAGGACGCAGACACGGGCATCACGTTAGTGCGGTCCTTTTGCCTTTGCGCCTCCCCGACAGAGGGCAAAGGGCTGGAAGAGCCACCAACCCC